GTGTAGCAACTGTCGTTTGAGGAAAAAATCACTTGCTTCATTTAGTTAGATATGTTAGACTCGTAGACAATTTGTGCATGTAGTTTGTTCATTCACAGGGGTAATTGAAGGTGTCGAGCGGTAACAGTGGCTAACCCATAATACTCACACAGATTCCGGGGATCCAGTTGTAAGTGCCTGACACATTGTCGTCAGTACACGGATAGTGGGCGTTTAAATTGCCCATAGCACACTTCATCGCGCGCCTGAGAAGCATTCTACTGTGAAGCAATTGTCACCGTTAATTCGCATCAGTGGACTCATTTCACCGTAGCTGTTCTTGTCAGAAGCCTCTCAGGTTCAATGGAACTGACACGTATTTACTTCAGCTGATATTCACAACTGTGATCGGCACATTGACGTGAGAAGCAGAGTTGTGAAGATGGCATGGCTTTTCATCCGTATAATATCACAAGCAATAGTGTCAACAGTAACAACGCAAGGAGAAGGAGCAACTTATGGAATAGTCATATGGAGGACTGATATAAGGAAGGAAATAGAGTCATAATCCGCAAGTGTCTTGCATTTATGCCATAAAGGACAGAGTAGATGAGCCCTGGTGTGAGGGTGTGTTAGAATAATTAATCCGACCAGGTGCAAATTTCGACGTGCTTCTTCCTGTCCGTTCCGTGTTGCGGGTTGTTCACTTTATGATTCTAAGCGAGATGACATTCCTTTAGTTGTACACATGCGAGGAAGTTAGTAAGGTTCTTTTTATATTATACAGCCTTGCTTTTGACGTCTGAAGAAACTAAATACCAATTGCATCCTGCGCAATCCAAATCAACTCAGTTCAACAAAAGCTTTAGTTACCCAACTCTGTGCATTTTCATTATTTTTGCATTATCAACTGAAAAAGTATCAATAGGATACTATCAATACTGCCTATTTACAAATGTGTAGCTATCTGAGTATGGCGCACTCTCATAGCTTGACCAATCAACGATCTCATAATGCTTAGGTAAATATTCAAGATTTGCAGCCATGCAAACGAAAAAGATCCCACTAAAACCTTTCTTCATAATTCGCTTCAGTAGACGTAGAAATTTGTACCTAAATACCACGTGCGATATCTCAGCTCTTTTATTCATAAAATGGGTAGAATATATTGGTCATACTTGCCCTGGAAGTTCATTAGCAATATGCATAGTTGATACTTCTTGCACAACCGATATCCCTACAGTAGATAAGGTGAAAAAACGTTGTTTTTTGCGTAAATGGCAACGGGCGATTTAACGGCACTGCTGCTGCACGAGGTAACCGAAGGCATTGAAGCATCCCCCTCAAACCACCGGCTTATATTATTTGTTGAAGATGAGTTACAATTATTAGGTATTTTTCTGCTAGCACAATGCACACAGTCGAATGCCGTAACGCACATATATTTTGTCCAACCCCAGATGCTATTTTGGAAATTTGAAGAAAGTATCCAGAGGTATTAAGGTAATAGACAAGATGACGCCTTGAGCTTTCAGACGTTGCTCAAATTACGATACGTCATTCGTTAAAATATGCACTTCGGCTTGCCTCTGCAACATACAGTGCAGAGTATTTGCATGTGTCTGAGAAAACTGATAGGTAATGCAAGAACATGGGTCTCGTAAATTTGCCAGGCTGTTGTCTTCAGTTTTCATGGATGCGATTCGTTGAACCCGTCCATTCGACAGCTATTTGGCGTACTTAACGTGATGTAGTACCCAAACCAATGGTAGTCTTGAAATCGGAAAATGAAAATTCAAGTCCGTAATGCTATGCTGTGTGGCATGCCTACTTCATGCTGCAAAACATCAGACATGTTTTATTTTGCGCGCCATCAAGTTTTCAACTACATATTTAATGGAAGTCTTTATGAATAAAAGAATTGCAGCGTCCACATTTACTTTCGTTAACCGGATCACGTTTAAATATGGAATAATCTGAAAAGATTTAATGACGCTGTGCCTGACCATATTTCACAGGACAGCATAATACTAGCTGAAGCTTATAAAATTGGCATCAGCTACCAGCAGGTCAATCTTAAATATCTGGGCATTTTAGATGTAGAACAACAGCTATGCCCGAACCTACAGTTATCGCACGTAAACAGATTAGTTTGCAACACCTTATTAATCTGCAAGTTATCCGAAATTGAGAAATACCTGAGTTGTTGCGCTGCAATACAACAATTTAAAATCCAAAAAACTTTGTAATGGAAAGGTAGTATTAACTAAAATTGAAACAAAAAATATTAAGCCTAATCTGCATTGTACAAACACAGTATGGTCGTGGTTGAAGGACGAACATTACGGAGATGGGGAGGGAAAAACAGCTGACAAAAGAAGCCTCATTGAGTTTTTCGTCGCCAACTCAACCATAGTATCAGACCAACATGAGGTCGTAGTCTTTCGCAACCCAAACCTTAAGCTAATGGAAACAAACCGAGGACAAGTTCGAAGCCAAAATCTTTATGTTATAAAGTGGTCTCCACATCCACTGCTGTGCACAAACACAGAGATGCTGCTAATTTGGTTGGTGACGGAAAGTTACCAAATAGATTTTCCGGCAATCTGACAACTTCAGTGATTCAATTCAAACGGCAATTCAATTTGGTATTATCCTGATCGGTTCTAAAGCGCAGATGGTGAATTACAGCACAACAAGTCGGTCCTCGCAACAGTCAGGAAAAGCATTGCAGGTGCGTGGGTTGTAACATTGGTCAGTAATCCTATGTTCTCAGAACGAATAAGCCAAATCTCTAACCGAATGAAGATGGGTCAATTTGGTTAGGACATATGTCAACATCGAAAAGAGCTGACCTCGTCAGCCAAAGTGTCATTAAATCTTTTCAGATTATTCCATATTTAAACGTGATCCGGTTAACGAAAGTAAATGTGGACGCTGCAATTCTTTTATTCATAAAGACTTCCATTAAATATGTAGTTGAAAACTTGATGGCGCGCAAAATAAAACATGTCTGATGTTTTGCAGCATGAAGTAGGCATGCCGCACAGCATAGCATTACGGACTTGAATTTTCATGTTCCGATTTCAAGACTACCATTGGTTTTGGTACTACATCACGTTAAGTACGCCAAATAGCTTTCGAATGGACGGGTTCAACGAATCGCATCCATGAAAACTGAAAACAACAGCCTGGCAAATTTACGAGACCCATGTTCTTGCATTACCCATCAGTTTCCTCAGACACATGCAAATACTCTGCACTGTATGTGGCAGAGGCAAGCCGAAGTGCATATTTTAACGAATGACGTATCGTAATTTGAGCAACGTCTGAAAGCTCAAGGCGTCATCTTGTCTATTACCTAAATACCTCTGGATACTTTCTTCAAATTTCCAAAATAGCATCTGGGGTTGGACAAAATATATGTGCGTTACGGCATTCGACTGTGTGCATTGTGCTAGCAGAAAAATACCTAATAATTGTAACTCATCTTCAACAAATAATATAAGCCGGTGGTTTGAGGGGGATGCTTCAATGCCTTCGGTTACCTCGTGCAGCAGCAGTGCCGTTAAATCGCCCGTTGCCATTTACGCAAAAAACAACGTTTTTTCACCTTATCTACTGTAGGGATATCGGTTGTGCAAGAAGTATCAACTATGCATATTGCTAATGAACTTCCAGGGCAAGTATGACCAATATATTCTACCCATTTTATGAATAAAAGAGCTGAGATATCGCACGTGGTATTCAGGTACAAATTTCTACGTCTACTGAAGCGAATTATGAAGAAAGGTTTTAGTGGGATCTTTTTCGTTTGCATGGCTGCAAATCTTGAATATTTACCTAAGCATTATGAGATCGTTGATTGGTCAAGCTATGAGAGTGCGCCATACTCAGATAGCTACACATTTGTAAATAGGCAGTATTGATAGTACCCTATTGATACTTTTTCAGTTGATAATGCAAAAATAATGAAAATGCACAGAGTTGGGTACCTAAAGCTTTTGTTGAACTGAGTTGATTTGGATTGCGCAGGATGCAATTGGTATTTAGTTTCTTCTTACGTCAAAAGCAAGGCTGTATAATATAAAAAGAACCTTACTAACTTCCTCGCATGTGTACAACTAAAGGAATGTCATCTCGCTTAGAATCATAAAGTGAACAACCCGCAACACGGAACGGACAGGAAGAAGCACGTCGAAATTTGCACCTGGTCGGATTAATTATTCTAACACACCCTCACACCAGGGCTCATCTACTCTGTCCTTTATGGCATAAATGCAAGACACTTGCGGATTATGACTCTATTTCCTTCCTTATATCAGTCCTCCATTTGACTATTCCATAAGTTGCTCCTTCTCCTTGCGTTGTTACTGTTGACACTATTGCTTGTGATATTATACGGATGAAAAGCCATGCCATCTTCACAACTCTGCTTCTCACGTCAATGTGCCGATCACAGTTGTGAATATCAGCTGAAGTAAATACGTGTCAGTTCCATTGAACCTGAGAGGCTTCTGACAAGAACAGCTACGGTGAAATGAGTCCACTGATGCGAATTAACGGTGACAATTGCTTCACAGTAGAATGCTTCTCAGGCGCGCGATGAAGTGTGCTATGGGCAATTTAAACGCCCACTATCCGTGTACTGACGACAATGTGTCAGGCACTTACAACTGGATCCCCGGAATCTGTGTGAGTATTATGGGTTAGCCACTGTTACCGCTCGACACCTTCAATTACCCCTGTGAATGAACAAACTACATGCACAAATTGTCTACGAGTCTAACATATCTAACTAAATGAAGCAAGTGATTTTTTCCTCAAACGACAGTTGCTACACAAATTTGATTAGAAAGAACCGACTAACAGCTCAGGATCTGCGCTGCTGTAGCGAGTTGTTCACTTGTAGCTCGCTGGCTTAATTTGACTGTTTTGCGATTTGTAACATTCGGTGTAATCCTGGATGTGGTATAAATGTCACTGGCACATGTGCCCGCCAGTTCACAGGACGAGTCAAGATGTTCAGTCGGGCCCTCTGTATTGTCCTCGCGGCGTGCATCAGTGTGGTTTCGTACGGTGCTGGTGAGTTCACATATTTGTCGCACAGGGTTATGTTGAGTTTAAGTGCAGACCAAAGTTCGTCCCACTTTTCACCATCTGTTTTATATTAGCATCGCTATCGGTGTTTTTCCCTACAAAGCGTGCATTCAGGAAGAATTCTATAATGGTGCCTAGCAAAGACGTTTGTGTCGTAAGCAGGTTCGTTTGATTTCTCGTATCGACACGCATACCGTCACCTCCTGAACGCCAATGCGGTTTTAGCTTCACATTACAGACTTAAAGTTTCGTGTCAATTTGCTCCCTGTAGGTTCAAATTGGACATTTAAACAGCACACTTTTGTAGTAACTGCACTTTCAAAATACCGCCAACTTGAATTTGCATTGCAAAAATTGTTATGGTTTATATGCCAAATGTCAAAATAACTACTGTAGAATTCACAAATGTTAGTGACTCATCAGCACGAAATAAGGGAACATAACCATTGCCCTACAATTTTGTGTGTGGCATCTACTTTAGCCAAGACGTTTTTATGCTTATAAATGTAATTTTCCGCTTTATGGTGACTAGTTAACTAATTCAGTGCAAAAGGTAGGCTGAAGACTTTGGCTGTTCGTAGCGACTTCCTTCATTTGTGTAACATGCATAATGAAGGTACTTTGCAAAAGCAGCCAACAAGGAATGTAGTCGCTTGTCTGCTTCTCTCAAATAATTTGGCTTTTGTTATGGGGATATTCTATTTGCTGGATAGGCAACTGCTATGGGTATTGGTTGTCTCGTGAAATGAATTGTACCATGGAATGTAAACAATTATCTGAGTGCGCTAACAGCCGGAAAAGTTAGGAAGCTCCCATTCATCGTGCAGTGTGAAGGCGTCCTCTCCTTATCTAACTGACACAAATGAATATTTCATTGAAGTTTGATGTTTTCGCTTAATGAGGTACCAAACAAAATGATATTTTCATTGTTTGGCTTAAGTCCAATTCCCACTACTGTGATAATCTGTGATGCCCTTTCCATTGATTGCAACACAATCTAGCAGGAAATCTTTAAAAAATACAGTACGTTGCATGTCTTACTCACAAATAGTTTACCAGAACTTGTTTTGTCTCAATTTTACAGCAGAGTTTGCTGATTGCATGCTCTTAACTTTGATGGAATGTGCTGCATCTAGAGGACAGTAACGATTGTTGGAAGCAATTTTGGCTTCAATATGGTCTTGGCACCCGTTGCGATCGTGCAAATATGACGCCTTTAATACGGGAGTTAACATTAAAACTGAACCCACACTGATATACTGCCACTCAGAATCCATATCTCATCACACGTGGTCCACGCTAGCTCTCATACGAGGTTTACGCTTCAATTCATTAGCTGCTTCACCAACGCCGTTGATTCCTCCATGGCAAGCAGCGTTTACGTTGGCACCGATATTTGATTTCGTCCACATTAACCTTGTCTGGTTTTGTCGGAATAAATCCCACTATCAGTTGATTTCCGTTGTCTCATACGTGTGATTCAACTGAAGCGGAGTTTTATTTAGGAAGGCAAAATCGGTACTTAACCGCCATTCTTTCACTCGTGTGTGCTTGGTTCTTAGTGGATATACTTTCGGTTTTCTTTTATTCTCTACATTTTGCACGTGGTACATGTTCTTTTGCGAATGTTGTGACGTACTCCACGTGGCTTATACTGCAATTCTTCTGTTTTTCAGTGGTTTCCGAACTAGACAGTTCAACATTAGGCGGTGAGTCCTTGTTGTTCCGGCCTGCAAATACAACGTCAACTCTAATGCGGGGTTTCAATGTGATGCTCGCGTATTGCGTGAATATCAATTGTTACTCCTGTGTTTTGTATTTGGTAGCGCTTTAAAATAACACTCTTTCGCAGTTAAACACAAGCACGCTTTATTTAGGGAATTAAGCGATCTTAAGGCGGTTACTCTATCGTAATACGCTGCACACTGTGTGCACGTAACCACTCGTTGAGCAAACACGGCCACGAGGACTGGGCACCCCGTCCCCTCCAGCATGTCCTACTGTCTCCTGAAGCCAGTATAAACTAGGCAGTGGATGCTACACAAGTAGGCACCTTTTCAACATTCACATCAAGCGCAGTCGCAAGGTGGATGTCAAACAACAGCCAATCACTTGAAATAACTATAACAATTATTATATGTATATATTAAAACATACGCAAATGCTGACATAAATGTACGCTAAATGAGCATATGTAATAAATTGCTTACAACCAAATCCGCGATAAGTGCAAGGTGTCAGAAAATATATTTCATATAATGCCACCATGTCGAACATGTTCGCTAACTTAACCACGATTAGCTTAAGAAACCTGTGCAAGTTCAGATAACTTTAAAATGAGGTAAATATAAATGCGTTGAGACACCATGGCAAACCCACCACATAAAAGATAGAAACCCAGCGCGCAAGCACTCGGTTAGTAAATCATATGCAGCGTACCTAGCTACACTGCGCATGGGCTGCTTAGGTTCTCAGCAGGACGTGTTGTCGTTTCGATGCTGTCCAGATTGGCCTCGCTCGTGGCTCACCATGCCTGTCTGACTCAGGCAATGGCGACCACATGTGCTAAAGCACTATGCGCTCGACGTCCATGGAGTATACCCCGTAGGCATCTATCTCTACTGCAAATGCTGCTTCTTCTATGCTTACACAAGGGCTTCCTCTTGCACCTCGGCAAAGACCTCAGTGATCAGGTTGCGTCATGCAAGCCGATCCATCGCAATGTTTTCGAATGACCATCAGTTAAACAGTAGAACGTTATAGGATCAATGGATCATGTCCTGGTTTCTGTGTCCCAACTTAATTTGCGAACATGAATATAACTTACATAACAGTGGAAACACTGGGAGGAGGGTGACCGGATGGTAGATAAATGCCACTGCACGATTCCACACTTGAAAATGGGGTGAATATGCTCCATTTGCACATGATCGTGACATTCGATACCTCAAGACTTCGTTGGAAAAACCGTGCGAACGATTCGGCAAACTGCACGGTGACTGATTTTAAAGCCATGAGCGCTGTGAACGTGCATGAACAATAGGCTCGTTATCACTTCTGTAGCAGTGAAAAACACGTGGCCTAGTCCTGGTAGCGATTGTTCTTTGTATTGAATGGATGAGTTGAGGATTCACTTGGAAATCTCTGGTTAAGCTGTTACCGAATCCTTGACAGCATCTTGTGTAGGGGCGCGAGACTATCTACTGCGCTTAGAACTGGGATTTAAATAAAGCTACTAGATGCGTATGTTAACGGTATCCGCAAGGTAATACACAGTACTACTCTATACAACGCAACAGTTGTAGTGGTACGGAGGGCTGAAAATGCAGCAAAGTTATACTGATGCTGTACACTTCGGGCTCCCAACAGAAGGACGGAAAGCGTCACATACCCATAACAATAGCTTCAGTTTCAGGACGTTTTCATTTCGCGTTCACCGCCTCAATTGTATTGAGCGTATTGCTCTCCCTGCCTACCTAACATTCTCCAGAGGGCACAGAACGTTGCATCCATAACGCTAAACGAGCTAGTGTCACCTTTCTTCCAAAACATGTTTGATCGAAGTACTTATGCCTATCATGATACTGACACTTAACGGCCGTCTTCCCTGTGCTCCCACATGTGCTGGAAGCAATCGTCGCTGGGTCTTTATCTGAACATCACAAACGCTCTAACTTCATAGAATCGCAGCAGCACGGTTTCCGTCAGCAGTCATCATGCAAATACACCCCACTGATTGCATCTCCTATTCTGACGGACACGACCGACGAAGGTAGATGGATAGAGGTTAATTACTTCGAATTCTTCATAGCTATAGTTCGCCTAGTTTACAGCGCTTATTTCATGGGTTGAATAGCTATTCATTTGGGGATCCAGTTCTTGGGTGTATCGGAGAGTTCCTACATAACTGGCAACTACAGATTAGATTTCGGAGTGCGCTGCCCGATAAAATTTATGTCAAATGTGGCGTTCGAAAAGTATCAGTGTTGCGGTAGCGTTTGTTTCTTGTTTTCAGGTAATTGATTGCCTAAGTTTTCTTAATTTTTGCTGATAGTGGGACGATGGTACAGACCGTTGCTACGCAAAGAGATCCGACGCACTTCAACGTGACATAGACCTGCCGTTTGAATGGTCATTCTGCGATCTGCTCCAGTTTAATGCCCTTAATGGTAAGGTGGTCCGCATGCATCATCATCCCGAATATCATTTACAAGCTTGGAGATTATGACCTGTAAGTATTCACGTAGCAGCACGTGCTCAATGTACAAATCCATGCTGTACCGGGCTGCTCAGAATAATCGGAGAACGTTTTAAACTTTTCAATCAAATGCGCTGAGGTGTTACGTGGGTAATTTTGCGAATTTATCGTATGTCTATCTGCAGTTGCTTTTCACTTACGTGTGACCTTATGTGGAATTCGTTAGCAAGGCCTGGCAGAAGCGCATCAAGCGAAATCTCACTGCACTCGAGACTCCACAGCGAAGAGCCACCAAGTACTTTACGCAATTGCTTTCTCTTCCATATTAACATACGCTAATTGTCCTAAAATGTTACAGTAGACATCACCAGTGCCTGTGTGGCGACCAAGAAAGGTCTACCCGATTTTAGAATTCAAACCACGTCTGCCGCCACTTGAGATAACGCAGTTACAATACCGGTTTGAGGGACATCAGTTCGAGTTTATAAACAGTAACGTCGGCTAAAATTTCGGCGAAGCTTTGACTCACTTTTGGTCTGCTAGACACGGAACGTCTACCCAACTTATGTTATTAACGCCATCAATATATTAGTGTTAAAAAGCCTTAACTTTGACTAACCCAGCTACCTTACGATATGTTTCTTTGGTACGTCGACAAACGTTGTTATATGACCCATGTTGCACAACCAGCTTTACTCTACATATCGGTGTCGGCATTTTTATTCACCTTCATGCCTCTGCGTGAACACTGGTTAGCCCATGGAAACTTTTCATTATATTACTGTGTTTTCTTCTCACAGATTTCTGGTTAATTCCGTTGATCCTACAGTACTTGTTGTGTAATGTTTGCCTAATCAGGATAACACAACTGTTCCATTTATCTTAAAGGTTTCCTGGCTTTTGCCAAGCTCATTATCCAACAAAATTAATCTAGTGATTTGAGGGACCATCCTTGTAATGCCGTGGTTTAATTTTTCCTGCTCAAACTTGGCAACACGTCCTGTCACTTCCTACGTACGCTACTGAGTGAGGTCCTTCCAATGTAACCTAACTCCTACATGTATACGCTGAATACTGAGCTGCACTTATAAAATGAACAATGTGCTCATATTTGGTGACGTTGGAGAACCACAGGTACTTCAATACAACCTTGATGTTTAGAGGGAGCATTCGCCTGGATAAAACCGAAATTTAGCTTTTTATTTGAAGAAAAGCCTATTAGCACGTATTAAATGTTCTAGAAGATCGGGATTACCTGTACCTCTGAGCATTCAATAAACACTGAGTATGCGTATTTGTGCAAACCCCATTGAGACTAGCCAGACTTGTTTGTGGTCGACATCTTAGCTTTTTGATGGATATAAACGAAGCCGATCGGAATATGTGCAAGTGATTCACGCTGCAGCATGCTGCGGTACATTTTGTCCACTCAGTATAAGTACTTGTTCTGATGTCATAGTAACTCTGTTGAAACGGCTTAAATTTGGATGCCGTAGGTTTGTACATGCCCTTTTATGTGATTTCCTAACTTACACAATCCGTTAACTAAGGGGCATTCTTCGGGTGCTCCAAATACCCCGAAGAGCTACTTCTAACCACTGTGTCGAACACAGCTCGCGGAGCTCAATGGCCTAGTGATCCTGGCGATGGCCGCCAAGCATTACGCGCCAAGTTCCAATCCCAGCTCGGCTATCTCTACCTGATGAATCTAAACAAAAAACGAAACCATCGGTCGTAGAGTGCATGGATGGGAGAGAGCCACACCGAAACCCTCCGCAAGTGGCATTTTTGTTGCGTTGACTTGACAACATGCCGTTGTAAGTCCGCAGCTTGCAATGCTACATGCACATCGTCGCTTGTGCTAAACAGAATGCAACGCGCAAAATGAGTTGTATGACACCGGCGACAACTTAGTTAAGCAACTGCACAATGATACAAGGAGGAAAGACGCCATAAAATCGGTTGCGGATAACGGGTAAAGGAAGGCATTCTGACGTAAATATCGTTAACAATGTGACACTGTGACATTTAGAGGATGAACAAGGCTACGCAGGTAAAAGTAATTTAAGTATGATGTGGATGCAGCTGACGTACATAAAGTGACCGCTTTTTACTTCCCATTTGCAAACATAACTAGCAGTCATAATACGTCTAGTTTCTAATCATCTCGGGGTTACAGCCCACCTTTTCCGTTAACCTAAAAATTCATATTATTTTTTCATTCATTCATCATCGTTTCACTATTTCGCATGCAAGGAAATGCAGATAATTCAAAGTAGATAACTGATTATTTTGTTCTTGCCATTAGCTGTGTCCGCTACACTTAACATTACGGATCTTCACATTGCTAATTGTTGCACTTGACATTACATGTTGTGAGAAAACTACGTGCGAATTCACTTAACCGGAACTATCTAAGACATTATTTTAGCAGTCGCTGTGGTATTCGCTAATCTAGCCAATTTGCTTGCCAACATTTTGTCACCAGTCGAGCTGACTTTCTCAATGCATGGTTACACTTGTGGTTGCAAGGCGAAGTGCCCATACATTGCATTTTCATGTCGATGAAAATAACAGTGATTTGCTTTCGGTCTGCATATCTGTGGTTCAGCCCTTACACCAGAGGAAATGCTCACTTTGTGATAGCTTAAGTTTAAAAAGCGCACCCCGGTAGTTAAATGAACTAAGCAACATTCGTATCCCAAAATCATCGCATCCAACGTTTGAAAATATTTCTGCGCTAATTATTGAAATATTAGGCTGCCTAAACAACGACGGCTGTTCGCTATATCTCCGATGTCCTACTAAACAGTCCGACGTAACGGACAATTTACGAATCTTTTACGAGCATCTCATTACTGGTTGCAGTCGTTTATCATGTGCTTTCTCCCCAACGTCTGTTTTAGACTTTGCCTTCGTACGACACTGTCCACGGAGAAACGGCTATTAAGTATGCATGAAATCCGATGTTTATTCGAAGACCGAAAGTGATAGTAGCATAGAAGAGAATTGTCAGCAAACTATGGATTGTTCCTTATGTGCTCCAGTTACTCAGCTTTTGCGCTGCCTAAATGATTGATTAGGAGCACTTGTACTCATATTGAAGCCGTAATTGCTCCAGATTTTTCGTTTGGTGTGACACTGTTTTCGGAGACATACTACGGTGTCACAACACGGGTTTATTCGCGCAGCATGACTGCAGCAGTTTCGGTTCGCTTGACCGCTATGCTACGCGTAATGATTCCGCAACATGTGAGAAAGCCTTAGGATATGTGTGGGCAACCACTGGTTCACCCGGACCATGTACAGGCGATGCTGCGTGCTTCCACACGGGCATTGCTCACACAATGAATGGAGTTAGATTATAAGTTTCCACGCCCCATTCACTTTTCATAAGCATCAAAAATCCATGTGATTAGCGAACTAAATACGTCTAGTAGCAACCGGTTATACCGGTTGTGAATAATTAACACTTCACACTTCGCCACATGACTCGTTATATATACTCAGTGTCGCTATGGCATAAAATGTACCAGTGGTCTATCGTTATGTGAGAAGTGTGTACGGTGAGGTATGAAGTACGTTTTAGTGGTTTCGTCGGTTAGTACAAAACGAAGAAAGTGATAACTCCTCTTAAGCGGTGAGTTGAGTACACGCACCTGACCAATCCCAATAGTAAGAAACGTTTGTCTAGCGCTTTCCTGGATTTTTGGTAGCTGTCTGCATGAAGGTAGCTGCGTAGATTCCTTCAAAAATTGTGGAACATATTTACGACGTCACAATATCTCGCGGCTTACCTGCGGAGCAAAACAGAAGAACTGTACCCATTATTTAGCATTCGTATTATTCGAAGGCATGCTGGACGCATTATGTGGTCTATCTACAGCGCAATATGTTCTGATGCATACTTGTACAATTCTCACCAATGAGATCCAATTGGACGGTTTTAGGCAATTTAGTTAACAAACCATGGAGAATTAGTTGGGCCAATTTTCTGGCCGCCAGCCAAAGTAAAAGAGGAATATATTTATAGTGCGTAGTCTAGTAGAATTACAGCCAGCATCGGGGCTTGAATATATGGTACAATGATGGCCAAATCATGCTCTATATCTAGTTGCATTTGAAGTCTGACTTTGCAATGCTGAACATTCCTAAGCGTTTACTCTCTGACACTCAGAGATTTTAACAGTTGCTTCATTTGTGGTTATTAATTACTGGGGTTTCAACCAATCGGAATTGACGCACTGCAACTACCAATTCGTGTGTGATTGCGGAGCAATTTATATAAACAGAGCCGAGAGTGCTCTGATTTCCGAAATAAAGGAACGCTTGTCAAGGATAGTTCAACGCGACACAGACTAGCAGCCCTAACCATCTGAACATACGCGCTAGCACAGAACTCCAGCTTCCTCCGCAGGTAGCAACTAGCGTTCAGGTGGCACTGGATACAGCTCGGATCAGATTTTACAAATATGCTTCATTATCCAGAACTTGCTTCGTTTGTTTCACCGAAGCTGTCAAAATCGCCTGGTTTCTTCGTCATATGATTATGAGTAGTACAGCCGCTACTTTACTAAATAATAGAGACTTGTGCAATGAGCCTCGCGTCAGCAGCGGTCTTGATGCAATGTATAGTAGCATCTATCTTCGATAATAGTAATGGTCACTTTTGGCTAGTCGACACAGTGTGCAATGCTTGATGCATACTTGAGGTATTCATTGTGTTTGCAGTTAAATTGGATGTCAATAATTAGAATTGGTAGGAAAATATTCCTTAGGGCAAACGCCGACAAATACCTTATTAGACAAAGGATGTCGAAACGTTATTATAAGAGTCAGTACGTCTTTAATAAGAGTAATGCCAAATGATTATAACGGCTATCGCGAAGATGTAGGACGAAGATTTCAGTCACTCCCAGATACCTAAATGTGTAGTTGTCATAGTGAAATAGAAAATGGCGGTATATTTTCCTACAATCTGCGGATTTTTACTCTGGTTTTGGCAGTGTCTGTAGTAAGCAAATGACTTGCTCATATTAAACCAGTTTGCATGGAGTCGTTAAGTTTAGAAATGTCTTAATCTACTTTAGAAATGCGTAAGAGAACGAGTTTGCGCTGTTTTCGAGGGGTACAATTAAGCATTTGCTAGGATATTAAAAACTGACCTTATTCTTACCAGTGAACCGGATTGCTTAATTGGGCTGCAAAATGATAAAAATCACATCAATTATTTCTGACGTTTCTGTTCCCACTGAGCGTGTTTTTTGTAAACAATGACACATGATTAATCCAAAATTCCTATCCTCATACCTTTGTTTCCACATCAGTGGAGGCCACACAAATCCCCCGAAAGAGAAGTAAGTTTTACATAATCCGAACTGCAGCCGTTTCCTCTAATCTCATTATTGATCAAAGGTTTTATTCGTCATTCAATCATTTGTGAGACAAAATCAAAACAAGTGTCATTGAAGAGCTTCGAATTTACTCTAACCAATATAAACCACATGCTCCATGACTCTGGTAGAACATGCATGTACACTCTTGTGCACATTAATTGAAACGAACAACGGTTGTGTCTCTTTTTCTATGAATATCATGTTTTTCTACATGAAAGCTGCCGTTTTGCATTTATTCTTTTATTTTATTTTGGGAATACATATTTCATCATTATTTGTGAATCAGACGATGTAATAACTGCGCATGTCTAGTCGTTACATCACCGAAGATTGCATCATACTTTTTATGGTTAGTAAGGTTTTTGTTTCAACTTCTTCTTTTTGTGATTCAGTCATTGTTTGAGATAGACGTGACTCCCAGAAGGCGCATGAAGATCGTGACCTTGCACGAACACACAGACAATATCTACAGGGACATATCAAGAATAGTAGGCGTCAGTCCGGCAACCGTCAGCCGTGTGGTCAAAAAGAAAAAGGAAACGGGATGCATTTCGCCAAAACGCAAAGGGAAATGTGGTTCTAAGAGGAAAACCACTGCCAGGGATGACGCTTACCTAATACGGGAAAGTGTTAAAGATCCTCGAAAGTCTAGTGACGCATTAAAACGTGATTTGGGGAAGAAAGGAATGGAAATCAGTTCTTCAACGGTTCGCAGGCGACTCCAGGAAGTTGTTCGGAAAGCCAGACGGCCTGTGGAAAAACAACTTCTGACAAAAGTAATGAAAGTTAAGCTTTACAAATGGGGACTAAAATACAAATACTGGACAAAAGAGGATTATAGAAAAGTACTATTCAGCGATGAAAGCCATTTCTGTGTTCATGGTCAGGGAAGTCAGTATGTTCGGAGGTCAGAGGGAGAAAAGGTTCGTGATTCCCACATTGACCACTTTGTGAAACACCCACAAAAGCAGATGTTTTGGGGGTGCTTTAGTTATTACGGCGTCGGTGACTTGCATCCAGTCCAGGGCATGATGCGCTCTCCACAATATATTGAAGTTCTCCAAAGAAGAGCTGTTTCAGAACTAAAAAAGACATTTCCTGACGGATCTGGGGTATTTCAACATCTTGGGTCCCTGTACCAAACTTGAATTAAAGCTTGAATAAGTTTCTCCTTTGTCGTACAGTCCATGCCACGAAGGCGTTGCTTGCAAATAGACCACATATTTTCAATGGGTTTAAATCTGGTGAATTCACAGGCCAGTCCAAGATGGATATTTGATTAATATTGAAAAAGTCTTGACCATTTTTGCTGTGCGGCACGGGGCCAGATCCCGCTGAAGAACTGATTTCCATTCCTTTCTTCCCCAAATCACGTTTTAATGCGTTACTAGACTTTCGAGGATCTTTAACACTTTCCCATATTAGGTAAGCGTCATCCCTGGCAGTGGTTTTCCTCTTAGGACCACATTTCCCTTTGCGTTTTGGCGAAATGCATCACGTTTCCTTTTTCTTTTTGACCACACGGCTGACGGTTGTCGGACTGACGCCTACTATTCTTGATATGTCCCTGTAGATATTGTCTGTGCGTTCGTGCAAGGTCACCATCTTCATGCGCCTTCTGGGAGTCACGTCTATCTCAAACAATGACTGAATCACAAAAAGAAGAAGTTGAAACAAAAACCTTACAAACCGTAAAAATTATGATGCAATCTTCGGTGATGTAACGACTAGACATGCGCAGTTATTACATCGTCTGATTCACAAATAATGATGAAATATGTATTCCCAAAATAAATTAAAATAATAAATGCAAAACGGCAGCTTTCATGTATAAAAACATGATATTCATAGAAAAAGAGACACAACCGTTGTTCGTTTCATTTAATGTGCATAAGGATACATGCACATGGCAAATCTGATCTCCCATTTAGCTTAATTCTTCCTTAGTAAATGTTCTACAGTACCAAGGCAAATGAAATTGGCGAGGCAATGAGACATGTGCCATGTATATGCTTACGGAAGTTTCTCCAGAAATAAACTGAGAAGGAATCCTAAAGACATTAGGCGATATGGGTTCTCGTTTACCGTCGAAAATATTACAGCTTGCCTCGTAGTTGGTTAAGGTCGTTTAATCTGATTTACTTAGAACAAAGCCTACTAAAATAAATCGGAATTCCGCGTCCCTGAACTTGATGATTCGCATAAATATTGGTGGGTGACACGTGAGATAGTCTTTGTGCGGATGTTTAAATCGGATGAGATGCATGTATTACAATCTACTAAAAACTGTAAACGTATATTCTTCGCTGAACTTGTACCAGCAACCTGGTTGGTGAGCAGAAGCTAGTTATATTGTCTGGAATTCAGCAATGATTGTCAAGGGGCTTATAAACATGCGAAATTACACTGTAACTCTGTTTATAATCTTTGTAAGAGACAATGCAAGAGACACTAAACCCCGGCTCGTTAGGCTAGCGCTGCCGGTTCTAACATCCCTTGTCACATACCGGATGCGCAATGCTGTATTAGATGCGTTGTTACTACTGGCTCATAAGTAATTTATTCGTATGAGCATTTTCAGTAACTGAAATACAGGATTAGCATTTGCTTTTTAGCGGCATCAATTCCAGTCTAATGACAACACCTTTTTCCTCTGTCACCCATGCAGACAGCAGCAACACCAATCAGCCCAAAACGAACGGTGAGTTCAATTTGACTGTTTTACCACACTTGTATTCCAATATGGATGATCCAAGTAACATCAAGTATGACGACACACACTGTAGCATAGCGCAGCGATTGACCTCGGCTACAGTAGGTTTGACTTGGTTTGCAGTAAAAACTTGCTAATTATTATGCGAATCTACATGCCTGTTTTTCATTAAAGTTCCTCAGTCATTTGATAATTCGATTTAGTCATTACAGCCAGCAATATTATCATCGATGTAGAATTATCCTGAGTTGATATCGTGCCTCCAGAATCACTCAGATGCTGAGCAAATGACTTGTCATTGGAGAGTGTAATGTGTTCTGTTTGAGTTTTATATGGAAGCTGAACCAGTGTGGACGACCATGTGGCTGTGGGCGTTCATTGTTGGACATCTTGGGTTACGAGCAGAATCCATGAAATTAAAGCGTATCTCTGGAAGCATTTCTCTGCCTAATTAGTTGCGCAAAGTGTGTTTGAAGCCGTGCGGAACAAAAAGAAGGAGACGATGGCCTGTATGGACTCCAACATTCAAAATATGAACACTAGCACAGCAATCAAAAAAGCAAGCCATTTCTTCGAACAGAATTTTCACAGAATCCACAAGGGGACTGCTCGGTAGTTGGCAACAATTTCGTAAAATTTCACATTTAGTAAAAAGACAGAACTTGCAGCTGTGCGTATGGAAAAGCCATGATGTTGCAGGTCGATTTTGAACTCATCTGATTACTACGGGTAATATCATTAATGTGGACCTCGACTGTCAACAAGCGTTTCACTAGCTGATGTAGAACAAAGCCTTGTAATCTATCCAACCTAATTCCCTATCCTGTGTCCGACATTGTGCAAGTCAGGGCGTAAACAGCATTAAAAATAAGCACGACATACGTTGTAATTAGTGAGACAAATCGCTGCCGCCTTATACTATTAGTACAACAATGCTTCCCAAAGCTTCGATTGAATGATCTCTGACTGCTTCATTAGCCACCGTAACGTGGTGTAAAAGTTGCTGGTTCTCGTCACAGAAGTGCGAGAAACGATCAAATTGCGCGCCCAATACAAGGGATATGAGGAATTCACGCTCACATCTAACTCGTGTATCATGAAAACTGCCTCAGTCTTTGAGCAGTAAAACTAAATAATGATTGCAAACTGATATATTCGCGTTCACAATCGGTTATATCAAATTAAGAACGATTAGTAGGAGTGAACCGCTCCTTTGATTTCGGTATTTTACCAAATGGGATAAAATCACCTTGCAGTCGAAATGGTTCTCAAATTTGAAAATCGCTGGTTGCATTGGCATAGCTGTACACATGAATGAGACCAGCGCAGTGAACCTTGTGTCAGCAACATTGCTGATCCAATGGTGACTAACAGTGAGGATTACATTTGCTATCGGCAACGAAACGTTTAGTGCTTGACGCGTATCAGGGATATGCACTGTAATTGTAGGTAATTGGGATGATAATTATTTGCAATCATGGTAAACCATTACATGGGGGAAACACAAACTGAGTACCTCATTAAGCAGGGTGTTTTGAAGCGAGTAGAATTTTAACTACAACTCCCACATAGCTACACGACGACAAGGGTAAATCCAGCTGGACATTTTAACGTATAGTTAAAGTGAAATTAACAATCGCGATCACTTCTCCATTATAGGCGGAATTCTATAACCTGATTTGAGCGATTTCTCTGATGCATACATCACTAGTTGCCAATAAATTGTTTCGCAAAATAAGGTTTTATTATACACGTTTTATTTTGTGTTGTCTATGCAAAAATGAAACAATTTGTGCTCTTGTTTGGAAGATTACATTTATTTAATTGATTCGGCATTCAAATTGATTAAACGCCATTCAGGTTAACATTGTTTTGGACTGCTTATATTAGAAGTAGTTTTACCTGATATACGTTATGATGGCTAAACATTCAAGTCCCATATATTATAACGTTGTTGTGTTAAACTACTTTCATCTTTAATATTTTGACACAAGAGTAACGAAACGTTTGCATCTTCACTCTTTTGTTTCCCAAGTAACGGCACCCACACAAATCCCTCTAAATAGAAGTAGGTTTACCATAATGCGGAGAGCAGATTCATGTCGAATTGATTTTCCGACTGCCATGGGCTCCCTTAATCTCACTATCTGCTGA